CCCTCCCACCCCCCTTTTTTTTTTTTTATTAAACCTGTTTTTTATTTAAATGAAAAATTTGGGTCTATCCCCCAAGTCCCCGGACTTTCCACTCCCCAATGAAGAGACGCTAATGCCTTCACGGCCGCAGGGCACCCTGGCCGTCATCGCCACGAGCACTGAGAAGTTAGCTGCCCGTTTCCCTGAAAGAAAAACTGTCACTTGGGATAATTTAAAAACACTTTTATTATTTCTTATTTCAAAATCTTGCCCTCAGGTTACCTCACATCACGTTTCCTGGGGACACGTGGCTCTCACAGGCCTCAGGCCTCTTCACCTACCGCCACACTGGCCCCGTCCGAAGACGGCTGAACATGAGATTTTCCTCACGTTCACGCAATTACAACCTGATCCAGTTTCCTTATTCTTTACAACTAAAATACAATGCAATGAACTGCTGTAGAAATAAGTCCAGAGGGAGGAAAAGATACAAAACAACACTGCGCACCATAAAATAAAAAGTGTAACCTCCATTACTCGGTATTTGCTGTCATTCCTAGCACAGATGAGACGACCCAAGCTATGCTGTGGCCAGGCACAGCTAATGCCAAGATTTCTCCCGGCATCCGTCTGCACTCAGAAGCTGGGCCCAAGAGCAGCAGCACTGAACGTGCTACTGGGGTATCTTACACGCTCTGCACAGCAAAAACCCTTGGGAACAAACAAGAAGTCTCTTACGAAGCTGATTATAGCAAACTGGCTTGAACCTTTTCCCTTACATTTACAAGCCAAACAGCACTGCTGCCTTTACAAGGTCTCTTTCTTTGTATTTTTTAAGAATATGTAAGAATCTGTAAACAAGCCTGACTTCCCACTAAAAAATGCCAACCAGAAAGCTCATGTTCTTAAAAAAAGAAGTTTTATAACTGAAAATAAATTATACAAAAGATTTTACTGACTGAAGAGTTCACAATCACCTGCAAACTGATTCACTACAGGATCACAACAAGAAAAGCCTTGTAGTTAACACCAGCATGTGAAGGCAGTGATTCCCACCCCCTCCACGAGTCACTGACACAAGATCCTGTGCTGGTGGAAAATAACAGCTCCTGCAAAGACTTCAGACCGCGCTCTCATCAGTATCGCCTATTCATCTTCTTGAATTTCTCATAGTGATAATCGTCTGTTGCTTTTTCATTGGGTGGACGTTTGCGATTTGGAGGAGACCCTTCAAAAGAAATACAAGAAAATATTATTTCCTGTCCTTTCACGTATGTAACAGAAAGGAGGAGACACTTCCTTAGCACTACCACTTCCCCTGTGAACTCCTCTAAAGCCACACAACTGACATCCTCTTGCTGCGTGAAATCTGGTTATTCCCTTAGCAGTCAATGCTCCTTAACCCAGCATCCCTAGCTACTCCAGCTCTCTCATCACACCCTCAGCAATCAGATTTGTCAATGTTTCAATCTTGACCTTGGACAGCCTTGGATATCTGTAAAGACATCTTCCATCCAGATGTCTTCATGCGTAACCTAGCAGGGGAGCCAGACCCTCCCATGGGACTTCAAATACAGACTGCTCCACTCCTCCGCTACTTCAGCATCCCCATATTTAAGAGAAGGCAAGCAGAGCCTCATCACTCTGTGCAAGATCCCTGAAGAGTTTCAGTATCTCCACTTAAAAAAATATATCAGATTAGGAACTTACGCTCAGGTTCTGGCCTCTCTGTATCCCCCACTCTCAGTGGACGGGGCTTTGGTTCTTCTTTATTCCTTCTCACTGGTGCATTTAGCTCCTCATGATAAACTGAGAAAAGGAAGACATCAGATACAGAATATTATGGTTATTCAGTAGTGTAATTCGGATGCACATACCTCTATAGCATCTGTTACAACTAAGCAGAAACAACGCAACCTCAGAACAAGCATTCTTGTAATCGGTTCTATGAGTAATCGATACACGCAAGATGGGATCCACCAAACTTCAGTAGCACTAGTTCATCAAAAGTGGTTGTAAGACTCTTCATTTCCTTTGGAACACACAAATCTGACTCTAAATCACCCCTGCAGGCGTGGTTAGACACAGCAGAAGGCTGCCTTTCCTCCAGATGGCTGCAGTATGAGAGGCTCTCCAGGAAATTAATTCCCATCTCCTGTCTAGTAAAATCTATGTTTGCTTGACCACCTGTCTGCTTTGGCAACCTACAGAATGGCTTCTCTCAATTGTAAACCATCATTTATAATCACAGACTAGGCAGGCATTTCTAGCACATGTTCAAGATATAACTTAAAGAAAAAGTCTTGAAATTTATGAGGCACAGTCAAGAGACTGTCAAGGGAGTTCGAGAGCAGAAGGTTAAGCCATAAGTAATACGTCCTTCTCTTTCTTGCTGACGGATAGGAAAAATGGGCCATGCCAGATGGGGTCTTTATGAGCATCCCAGAAACATGAATCGGACAGCTGTTTGTGCTGATACATGAATTAATTTCTCCTGCATCTGACTGCATCCCAACTGACTCCTGCTCTTCTGCTGAAGAGCAGGTCACATCTGGGTCAAGAGAGCTATGTGAGACTTACATCTGTTGTGCTGGACATAGTTGACAGCCATGTTTGTGGGAACAAAGGAAGTTTCACTGTCTTTCTTCTTGTTCTGTTGCTCTGCCAGCAGCTTAGCCTTGGCCTCTTCAGTTGAGATGATGTTTTTTATTTTTGCACTAAAAGAGAAGCAAAGAAAAAATACTCATTCATATTTACAAAGGGCGGCAGGCAGAGAAGTTGTTCTAAGTGGATGGATTTGGGTACAATAATAGCACTGCTGTTGCACCTGATGAGTTTTTTTTTTTTTTTTTTTTTAAGAGAGGAGGCAGGGCTACAAAAACAGATGCTTTGTTACAATGGGAAAAGGGAAACTCAAATCTTTATCATATCCTCTTTCAGTGCAGGGCATAAACTGATCCTCCAAGAAGCTGCTAGATTGCGCTCACAAAAATCAAGAGCTTCTTTCCGTAAGTCAGCTATGGTCCTGTGCTGGAGCAGCCCTAGACACTGCGTAGCACATGCTGTTCTAGATATTGTGCTAATCAAGAACAAGGCTCAGTCCCATCACTGGGCCAAGCTGAGGATGTATAATCCAGATATGCCACTGCCTTGCCAATCAACAGTTTCTAGTCACAGGACTCTCTGGCAATTCAGGCCATAACTAACGGATCCGTGAACTACATACTCAATTCCCAGGTCCACTTCAGGAAT